CAATATATTATAAGAAATACGACTTTTTCCTGATGGAGAAAATAGGCCCGCGTCCTTGCTGGTAAGCAAATATTTCCGATGGATGATATACTGTTGCGGAGATCGTGTACTAAGTAAATCACCGATCAAAGCGTCACCTATAACAGGTTAACAACATTTTCCCTAGCAGTAGTAGTACTAAGCTGAGTGTCGACGCAATAGTCACTGTTAGCCTGCTAGAGCGATTTGCGATTCGTATCAAATACAAGTGATGCGTCTCCCGTAGGTTGCGTGCTTGAAGTCCTTACATTTGCTAGTCCGGCAAAACCACTACGAAAGCTTACCTTCCCACGGTCTCACAAGAAACTGCTGATGGCCTGTTTCAAACGTTTGACATCTGACACATTCCCTGACCGCAGCACAATGCCTTATTTCTTATTGTTCGCTTTATTTTACCATTCCCACATATACTGCAAATTCTCATCATAAATCAAATTTCCTACCAATCCTCTAATAGTCTAATACTGTCATATGTGTACCTACACCAGTGGTCACCCCAACTTGTTCCAATGCACACATCAGTCTTCAAACAGCCTGCTCTTGGATAGAACCTGTGTAGCACCAATGATAGTAACAATTTGCTTTATTTAGCATCGACTACAACACAGAAAATCACGTACTACTGTATCAAATGCTCTACAAATGGCTTAAAGCCAAAAAGCTGATTATTTACTATTCTCACTGTGCAACAATATATAAGCACATGGTAATTAGTGGCTGACTTATCTGTTATGTCAGGGTAACTTACGAGGTGGAATAAAAATGTGGTCTTAATCAGGAACTCCGAATTGTGCTGCAACTCAAATATTCAAGTGTTTTAGAGTCGTCGGAGATGGTTGATATTCAGAAACAAGACAAAGGGTCGTAGTACATATAGTATACAAACTTCTGGAAGGTGCCATGTTATAGAAACGAGAACGAAAAACAAGAAAGTGAAATGTCAGTACACTTGCACTTGACTACTTTCTGCAGACTTCTCCCACCACTCGACACTCTCGAGATGGTTAACAACGAACGGCATGTCTGGTCTATCCGCAGGTTTTGTGTTCCAGCAGAGCTGCATGATAGACCATATGCCTTCATTGAGCCCTTTGGCAGCAGCATCTGGACCGGGCCACGGAGGCCTGTTGTCATTTACCGCTACCTCCATGATGACACCTCCATCGTAAAGATCAGCAAAAGGAATCTTTCCCGAAAAAATCTGTTCGCAGAATGAGAAAGGGGTAACATAGAATTGGGTGGGCTCTTACCTCCAAGCAGACACATGAGAAAGCATAAACGTCGCTCTTCGTTGTTAGCTTGCTTAGCTCCGCACCAAACCGAGATGCATAAAGAAGCTCTGGAGCTTGCCAGCGCAAAGTGCCTTTCCCTCTGAAAGACGATGCGAACTGCGACCCTTGCGTGTCGACAGCGCGTGCGAGCCCGAAGTCGGTGATCCTAGGCTCTCCGGTTTTATCAACGAGAACGTTAGCCTAAATAATTACGTATAAAATGTTTTCCAACAGACATATAGACAGTTATAATTGCACGAACGGCTCGCAAATCGCCATGGATTATTTGTGGCTTCAAACCGTGTAGATAATCGAGGCCACGAGCCACACCTATCGCCTAAGCGGAATAGCTTCATCAGTACGCAGAATGCGCCCTGTTAAATAGAAACTTACGAGTTTCAGACAATCCGCTGATTGATTCTCATTGAGATGTTCGGCAAGATTCCCGTTTTCCATCCAATGCGACACCAAAGCCATTTGAGGCGCAAATTCATCGCGACAAATTCCGAGGAAAGGCAGAACATTTGGATGCTCGAGCTTTCGCCAGAGTAACGCCTCCCGGCAGAAGTCCTGTTGGTAAAGTATCAACACTGCCAAAGCTTGTCACTGTCATGCAATACGAGAACCTACACGCTGCATCTTCTCACGGTCCGCTGAGCAAAAGATTCGCAAGACCTTCAAGGCAACATCTTTCCCTTCATATTCTCCCTTCCAGACATCCGCGAAGCCCCCGCCATGTACAAAGTTTGTCCCGACACGGCGAACACTAGAGAGGAAGATGCTGGAAGGAAGAATGCCACGCTTCTCCACGACATGCTTCAAGAAGCGATCAAGTGTTCGGACATCATGAGCATTAGGATCAACATGCTTTATTGCCTTGAAAACGCATATGTTCAACCAAACATTCCTATCTGGATTGATAGAGGCTTACAAGCTGAACTAGGTCGACAACGTTTTGCAAGTCACTCTCTTGCAGCTGGATAAGTTCCTCCACCAGCATTGTTTCCCCGTCCAGAAATAAGTTATTAAGCTCGCTGAGATCGTAAATCAGTGCTCGTGCAAAAATTTCGTTCCAAAAACAGCCTCTTGCAGTAAATTTCTAGACGAGATGATAAAATAGAGGTTTGTACGCTGAAATGAATGTCGTCACAGAATCGCTTACGACTGGTGTAGTGGCGCTTTTCATTACACACAGTATCGCATCAAAGGTGTTAAGACCATACACGAGTGACTCTTTGAGGTCCCAGCTATGCATGTTCTCCTTGAGAGTATGGAAACTCGCTAATTTCCTTTCGAATTAAGGACAATTAATGAATGAGTCGCGCCGAAACGAGAAAATCTGGAGACCTACTTCTTGAAATTGGTGCTGCCAGTGAACCTGGTTGCAAGCATCAGAAATTCAAGTGCACAGTATATGCTAAGCTTGTAGAACCGAATACATGGAAGATGCTAATCAATGCGGCCTGTCGTAAACGACATCATTGGGAACGTACTGCAAACAGCTCCATGCAATTCCTGATTCGCAGCCAATGCCCATTCAGAACCTGATCTTCACTGTTTCCAACTATGATACCGGAAAACGACTTGCGCAACGGTGTCATGGCATTTTCCCTGTCATCTATAATCCACACCAGACTATGTGCCCTTGAGTTTAGAGTTGCGCTCGTATCCGACAGTGCATAATGTGCAAGATAATTCGATACAATGGGTTGCACCAACTTTGTGGGTGACTCCGGCACCCCACATTCACTTGGCTGTGGACAAAGACTCGAGAGACCATTAGTTAATTCGCAGCTCTTTTCTGAATGGCCGTCAAGCTCTTCTTGAAATGGATTTGCGTTGGGATCCCCTGCTAGAGCTTGTAGGATCAAGGTGAGGTCCGAAGAGGTCATGTCGCTCGCTCGCCTTCAGGCGTCGAAGGGGTGCATATTCAAACGAGAAGTAGCAATTCCAGTTCAAGGGAATCACCAGCAACTGAGCTGCGAGGCTGTGCGAGCGCTCAGTGTACATCAACTCGTCAACGGCGCGCTGACTTCAAGCGCTAGCCTATATTGGGCCATATTTCTGTAAGAGCTTGGTACAGCCTTGACCAATATGGGAGCTGGTCACAGCAATCTTCATTGCCGTGGGATTCACGAAGTTTAGCGAAGATTCACATGCCACAAGGTAAGCTGATAGCAATTGCAATCAGAACGTTGATAGACGCCTTCTCTATACTGGGCTATTCTAATAGCAGTAGCATGGGCAGCATCATGATGCGCAGCACGCATGCACTTTTTGCCTCCTCTGGGTACAATGTCGAAGGTACCTACTTTAATGCACAAGGAAAGTAAAATCAACAACACAGTGTCCAAGGTGGATAAAAGGAGTTTTCGTTGAATGACGGACATAATTATTCTGTTGCCTTAATCTTATCCAAGGTGTTTACAGATGATCCAGGAACATGTCGGCAAAAAAATGCGAAACCCCAGCACACAAGGTAAAAAAAGCAACATATACAGTGCATGCGGAAACGGGGTCGAGGTTCGGCGATACGACGTCTGGGGTAGTTTTCCGTCCATCACCCACTGCTCGTTCCAGTACATGGCAGGCTAAGCTTTTCTTGGCTCTTGGAAAACAACGTGATCAGGAAAAGGATGGTACTGCGGAGGCGAATCAGATGTCGACTGTTCAGTAGGTGACACCCTTGATGCAGCAACTCGAACAGAGGTATTAACAGCAGGTGAGTCATCTGTCGATACCGAATGAATATCATATCGCGAGATCGTCACATCCGTCCCACGTTCCGAATACGCCACAGGGTAGCGCCTGATAGCTCGCATCGACGGTTGATCGTAAGGAGGGAGCTCGTATAGCTTTCTTTGCCGCTCGTTTCTCCTTCTCAGACAAATTAGGACGCCGGCAACGATGGTAACAGCTAACCCAGCGAAGACAGATCCGACAATCACGCCCACATTCGTCTCCTTGGTCTCCTTATTGCCATCAGTCTCACTAGCAGATGTTACTGCAGACGGTGGAGGGAGACTCGTCGGAGGAAGAGATGACGCGTTGGTCCCACCGCTGGTTGTCATCGAAGTGGGAACACCTGAGGGACATACTGTAAGGGGCCTAATTAGAGAGTGTACAAGACCCTTGTAGTCCCTCTAATTAGGTACCTTTTGAGCTTTTCTCCCTAACTGTACTTAATACTAGACTTAAATAGTGAAAAAAATTCTAAGTCAAAATAAAATAAAATAAAATAAGTATGCTGAGTGCCCTATATGGCAACTGTGCCCTCCCCACCTGCCACACCTTGAGCTCACTGTCTCATACAGTGAGCACACACTTTCCTCTGTATCTTACTCAATTCTTAACCAAATTTCTTCATTATTCCTTTAAAATTAATGTAAATTTAGTTGGAACTCATTCATAACACAAATGCAATGTTAAATGTATCAATTACTTGTGTATTTGTGTACTATTTGATAATAAAAAATACAACAGTTTCCTCTGACTAAGATTTATGATACTCTAAACTCTTAATACTGTAATAATAGTAGAGCTTATATATCTACAGTATATCCAAGAATTGAGTCTGTGTAATGTATACAAAGGAAGTTACACTATGCTTTATATACATAATTTTGTAGTCTCATATCTATGTAACCACAGAAGTTATTAATATAAGAGTGGCTTTTTTAAATAGGTGCAGATTAGTATTAAATTATTATAAGATATGAGAGGTTTAAAATAAGGAGGTAAATTGTTATTAAGAGTATAGTACAAATATTAGAGTCTA